CGGTGTATCAAATGTTGGTCAAAGATTAGTTTATGGTGTTATTAGGGATGGTTAATGATTGATGTTTGGCAGTGGCATTGATCAATTGAAGCCATTTGGCAGTGGTGATGATAGTCACCAACGTTAATCAATGACTCAATGTTGGTTGACATCCGGTGTTTAGTTTTGAAAATGGTCGACATTAGTCGCTGTTTTATGCCTGGTGATCATGAAGCGAACATCAACAAATGACATCCGGCGATGGCGATTTTGAGCGCCAATCTAGTGGCTAGAAATTTTGCTCTCTTTTAAAGGCACATATTTAAAGTCATATGAAAATAATTTTTCCACTAAATAAGTTATAAAAAAGAATCAATCTAAAATGTACTCATTATTTGACAAGTCTGGAATGGGGATTTCATCACACATATAAACCATAAAAAGTTGTAGCAGCTGTATCCAAATATTAATCACTTCAAAGTATATGTTTTTTTTTGTGTTTTTTTTTTTCTAATGAACTGTATTTTGGCTGTGTGAACTGCATCCAACTACACGCAAAGTATTATCTAATGATTACTTGTTTTTTCTTTGAAACAGTTGCGAACCTTCAAAGGCCCTTCTTTCTGTCAACCACCAATGGAAGAATTCAACACGTTTTCTAGATTACAATGTCACTGTTTTAACAAGCTAAAATACACCAAATGGAGACCTCCAATCAATCACCCCCATTAAAAATAAGAAGTGCAGAGCCTTTCTTCTTCTCACACATCATGTCTTCTTCTTCTACTTCTTCTCGTCACATCATATCTTCTTCTTCTACTTTTCCTCTCCAAAGCTTACTTTTTGTGCCGTCAGATAGTAAGCAAATTAGTAAACAAATCAGAAGATGAATTGCATCAGAATTTCAATTCTTCTCTTTCTTTCCATCTTTCTGTCAGGACTGATGCAGCTCACTCATGGACAGTCCATGGCTGCGCCTGCGCCTGACGCAGCACCTCCGATGAGCAACGATGGCAAAGCAATTGAACAAGGACTTGCATATGTGCTCATGATTGTTGGCCTTCTTGTTACTTATCTCATCCACTGACTGATGATGATTTCCATTTTTGTCTTATTCAGTAGTACACTGTAATTATTTTGTGCGGAGTCTGGACGGAAAAAACCGTCCAAACTGTGAGTGTACACAAATTTGATACAAACTGTGTATAGTCACAGTTCGGGCAATTTTTTCCGTCCAGACTCCACACAGAATAATTTCTCCAATTATTCAAGAAAAATGAATTTCTCTCTTCTTCTGATGTAGAGGCCATCTTGTATTCTTTTACTAATATAAATGAATATTCCAATTAATTCAAGAATTGAATGGAAATGTGTTTTCACCAGTCCCATTGTTTGATTGAGGAGAAATTTTGTGAAATTTTCTTTTAGATTGATGGGAAATTATTAAGTTTTTGGCTTCATATGTAGAATTAATATATGAGTCGAATGATAAATTTTATTTTCATTTTTATTAGGCTGGATAAATAAATAAATAAAACAATTCACATTTATCAGCCAATCTCGTCCCAATGGGATTTGGCTTCCGTTGGGAAGGATACGTGAGCGTAAATTTGCTCAAAATCTTTAAAAAAATTGCTTTTTTTTTTTCCTCATTTGCAAGGTAAATATAATTAGCTGTGAATTGCATAGAAACTAAACACTTAAATGAAATTATTAAATTAAATATTAAGCATTAGTCTTTGGTAAATGTTTGGTAGTCAGCTTTATCTCTCTCTCTTTACATTAGGGGATATCGGGTGACTGGAAAACATATGTCAAGCATCAGATGTCAATGATTGATGGAAGTCAAACATTAGTCGTGATATGCATCAAATGATGACAACTATTAATGTTAGAAGTCAAGAAGTAGTTGACCATCCAATGTTTCAAATGATGACAACTATTAATCTCGACTTCTTAATCAGTCGACATAGTCATTTTATATATAAGAGAGGAGATCAGATGATCCAGAAGATATGTGTCAAACATCGGCGGCTTGCATATGTTAGTCGTTGGTAGGGGTTGGTAGGGGTCACACATTCAACCGATGGTTAATTGTGAAATTAAGATGTCAATATGTGATTAATAGTCAGCTTGATTGTTCTTGTTATAGGAGGAGATTGAATGACTATAAATATTATCATCTAACATTTATGTTTGACATTTGTGAGATGCTTGACATTATTAGATGTAGAATGATGATAGATTGTGGAAATCAAAAGTCAAATGATAGTCTACAATTCGCTTAAATTCTCCTTATATGAGGTCAGACTTGGTGATCATGATGATGAACATCTAACACCGTGATGATGATTGACAATAAACTTCATAGGTATGATGAAACCAAGTTGTTGACTAGATCATTCTCTTTATAAGCGATAAGATTGATGACCATGAAGATGACATCGAATATTGCCGGCGGGCAAACATCAAATATTTGTCAATGTTTGGTGTTTGATAGTGGTGACAATAGGTGTTGGCTTTGATTGAGGTTTGTCATATATCTCTAGTAATCATATGAATAGGTATTGATCAATTTCTGGTGCCTAGTGGTGGCAATAGCGCTTGTCAACATTGATCAACATTGGCCAACGAACAATATTTAACGATGACAAATGCGGGTGTCGGCATTAGATTGAGATGAGCAGAGTTATAAAATTCTTTTAGTACAAATAATTTCTTCACAAAAAATTAAGTTTCATTTACACCTTGAGGAAGCATTCTGGACATTTCTAACAAAAATCAGAATTTTGATTGGATGGTTTTATTCAATTTTATATTTGTTAGGGCATTTCTGTGCATTAATGATTTTGGAATTGGGTGATTTTGGATCTTAAGATTTATCTCATCGAGAAGCATACAAATTTTGGAGGAGATTTGACTTGTCAAATGACTTGCAGCTGTATTCATACATTAATTTTGTTTGTTTTTCTTCTTTTTTTTTGGTCTTGAAACACTACGTAGCATATGTTGTTTTTCTTATGAGCTGGTTTTCGTTAGGTGAGCAGAATCCAGCCACGCGCAAAGTGTTATCTAATGATTACTTGTTTTTTCTTACAAACAGTTGTGAACCTTCAGAGACCCTTCTCTCTGTCATGTCAGGCACCAATGGAAGATGGAAGAATTCAAGACGTTTCAAGAAGACAGCTTTCGTTCTCTTACCAAGTCAAAATAAAGCAAACGAGGCCTCCCACTAATCACCCCCCATTATAAATAAGAAGTGTGAAGCATATCTTCCCCTCATCCCATTCTTTTCTTCTTCCTCCTCTTCCTCTCCAAAGCAAATTAGCAAAGATATCAGAAGATGAATTCAATCAGAATTTGGACGCTTCTCTTCCTAGCTATCTTCGTCTCAGGGCTGATGGAGGTCACTCATGGCCAGGCATTGGCGCCTGCGCCTGCAGCAGCACCTCCGATGAGCAACGATGGCAAAGCTATTGAACAAGGTCTTGCATATGTGCTCATGATCGCTGCTCTTCTTGTTACTTATCTCATCTACTGATTGATGGTTCTCCTTTATGTCATATTCATTAGTTTGTTGCCACTTATTCAAGGGAACTGTTTTTCCTTTTTTTTTTCTTTTTTGAAGCAGGCCATCTTGTATTCTTTTACATACACTAATATATATATTCATTTCTTCATTTTATTCTGACTATAGCTCAGTGAATATTCATACTATCATAAGTGTAGGCCGAGAACAATTCGATTTAAAGCTGAATGGATCTCAATTCAAATTTGACATGAGCTTCTTAAAGCTTCATATAGGACGACTTTGTTGCGGCTTCTTAATGTAATTTTTTTAGTAGAAAAAGCTATTTTAAGAAAGCCGTTCCAAACAAAGCCTAAAAAACATTAAGAAAGCCGCCATAAACAAAACCTTAAACTCATTTGATCATATATGATCTCAATTTGAGTTAAATAGAATTCAACCACAGCTTCAATCAAAAACTGATTCGATTTCAATCAGATTGAATCACTCAGATTAAGTTCTTAATCATATATACATTCGATTTAAGATTGATTGATTCATTGACTTCAATTCAAGCTCAATCCAAAAATCCTAGATGAAGAGAGGGCTTACATAATTATAATGTAAATGTTATATTGCAAAAAATTGTTGACATTTTTATGAACAAAAAAGAAAAAAATCAAAATAATTTTTAAATTATTTATTATAGCTAATTTAGAATAATCTATAACTCATATTTGATAAGTTATGATGAAATTTGAAATTAAAATAACCTCATAAACATAGGCTTGATTTGGTTTGGCTTTCTTACTGCTTTTGGAGCTGAATTGAAAAAAATAACCTCACGAAATTATGAATTTTGACTTGTATGGTCGCAATCCCAACGCAGCTCCACAAGAATCTCTGTGGCTCTGAAATTGAAACAGAGGAAATTAATAAAAAAATGAAAATTGAAATGGCTAAAGAATTTAATTGAAAAAGGAATATGAAGAAAATTATAAAGAAAAAAAAGCACAGAGAGCAAGGAAGACCGCTCCTTTGTTTTCTAGCAAAGTTAGACAACAATAATGAAAACCTTCAATTAAATATCACTATTGTCTCCATCCAACCCTCAATGATGAAATATACAATTCATTAAAATTCATCAACACCACACTTCTTTTTCAACTCAGAAATTATCAATCAATAAAAGGCCTCATAGGCAAATTATTAGGTCCGGTCACAGGACCTAGAAATAGGTCCGGACATCCATTAAAAATTTGCCACGTGGAATGTACATGTGTTTGCGGAAATTTAAGTCAAGCTCGTTAAAAGCGCAGATAAAGCGCAGTAAAAAAGAGCAGTAAAAAACGCACCTAAAGCGCAGGCAAAGCGCACCTAAAGCGCAGTAAAAAAGCACAGTCAAAGCGCAGTTCATGTGGCAAATTTTCATTGGATGTCCGGACCTATTTTTAGGTCCGGTGACCGGACCTAATAATTTGCCCACATGAGAACCCAATCTCTCAACAAATCATCAATCTCGATATAGAATCTCACCTCTCATAGTTCAGTAAAGTCATACAAGCTCAGCGATGGCTCCTCCGAGGCCAAGATTGGTCGTGCCCATCGACCTCAAGAAGAAGCCATGGGAGCAGAAGTACCCTCTGCACAACCGTTGGCATCCTCACATACCCCCAGTTGCAAATGTGAGAGAGGGAGAGGTGTTTCGGGTGGAGATGATGGACTGGACAGGCGGAAGCGTTGCAGATAATAATTCTGCAATGGACATCAAATCTCTAGATCTTACCATTGTAAGTTCCAGTTCCTGCAGAAAAGTAGAAGATTGTTTATTTCTTATAGCGATTCTCAATTCTGTATGTTTAGATAAAATAAGCGGACAACCATGCATAATCAAATGAGGTGACTGGAACAAAGAAATTCTGTATAAATTTATATAAAAAGCATGGGAAGAAATAAACATAGAATAGTTATTCAGAACTGGTATGATTGATGCAAAGCATGTAAAATTTGGTTGAATATAAAGTTGGATCAAATAAAAAAGAGGAACAGACTTTATATGAGAAAATAAAAAAGATATTGGCTTAAAAGAATATTTAGTGGAGAAGCAGAAAGACCGAAGAGTGCGTTCTAAAAGGAGCAATGATGCTTCAACCTAAAACGAGCCCCATGAAACAACTCTAGGACTTTGTAGCTGGGCATTAAAGGATAAGGACACTTTTTTAGAGAAGAAAAATTCACCGATGTGTCAGGCTTCAATGGGATTGACAACCATGTTTCTTACATAAAACTATAGCTTCATGAAGTGAAAATCTTGTAAGTTCTTCCAAACACAAGATGATGTCTACTTTATGGTAAAAGTTGTTTCAGCAGTGGTTATGGATGTTTTTGTGATACTTTCTTCAGACCATTCCTTGCAAGGGTGGAGTGCATGTTGATCCGCCTGATGCTCTATTTTTCAAAATTAATAAAATATATAAGATACACGTGTCGAACACACGTGTCCAATATACGTGTTGGACATTGCACGCCTCAATGAGAAGAAATGTCGGTGCATCATAGGTGTACAACTTCATTAACAAGTTTGCTTACAAAAATTATAGAAGGTAGTATGAGGATGAACTGGCATAAGAATGATGGGAACTTTTTTAAAAAGTAATGTTTTCTGATAATATGCACAGGCTAAACAGAACATTAAAATATTGTACAGACGCATTATCTCAGTGGACCTATAAGAGTTTCAGACAAGGGAGGAAATCCAGCAAATCCAGGTGATCTTCTTGCTGTTGAAATCTGTAACTTAGGTCCTCTTCCCGGAGACGAGTGGGGTTATACAGCAACATTTGACAGAGAAAATGGAGGTGGATTTTTGACGGACCACTTCCCCAGTGCAACAAAAGCTATCTGGTATTTTGAAGGAATATATGCATACTCTCCCCAGATACCAGGTAGTCCTCCAAGTTCGTTGTTCCATTCCTACTATAAGAGTAAGGCTTTGTTTGGGACGGTTTTGTTACTGCTTCTTAAAGCAGCTTTCAAGTACAAAAATTTTAACTTTTGTATTAAAAAACTGTTTTAAGAAGCAGTATGAAAGCCGTCCCAAACGAAGCCTAAAAAATGTTAATGGAAGTTAAGATTGACGCTGACGAAGTTAAATAATGTGAAACAGGTGTCCGTTTTCCAGGTCTAACTCACCCAGGAATTGTGGGGACTGCGCCATCCCTTGAGCTCCTAAATATTTGGAATGAAAGAGAGAAGAAGTTAGCTGAAAAAGATCCCAATTCTCTTCAGATATGTGAAGTTGTGCACCAGAGACCACTGGCTATCCTACCAACAACCAGAAATTGCCTCCTTGGAATGGTAAGAATAAAACATTTGAAGATTATTTTGAGATGGATTGAGTATAACTACAAAAGAAATTAACTAATTTGACTTTTATTATTATTATTATTCTTTTCATCATATAAAAATTCACAAATGCTAGTATTTCTTTTGTGTGACGCACATGATAAGTTAAAATGTTAGTATTTTGGTAAAACTTTTGTTTTCTTGAGGAGCTACATTGGCACTAGCAGGACCGGCAGGAGTTCTAAAAGCAAACCTATACTTCAAATTTCGAAGACTATCTGACCAAGATTGTAACTAGAAAATCTAACTAGAACTCCTTCGAAAATGTTGCAGTATTTATTTTCAAGATCATCAAGAAACACTAAACATCATTAGCCTTACATAGCGCCATCAGTTTTCTTACCAAGAAAGTAGGTCAAAATAAAATATCTTAATTTAATTTCTCATAAGAAAACTCATTATGATGTATAAAGCCAACAGAAGGCCAATAGTATTCACTGATGTTCTAGAAAATAAACACCACCCTTTCTCAAAGGAAAATCAAATAATGAACACTAGTGGTTAAATGGAGAAACCCATAAAAAATCTTTTGCAATCCATTTGTGGGCTCCGAAAATGCACGCCCAGGCCTCTCCGCGGCCCCTTTCCCTTCTTCGGGTCCTCGAGGAGACTTTTAATGAGTAAGTTCCGAGGCAAATTTTCAGAAGGTAGATTGAGTTTTGATTAAAACATTACCCTAGATTTCACCCTTGTTCTGCAAGGACTTTATGATCTGAGTTCATGTTTCTTATAAACGCAAACCCCTATAGTTAAATACTCCTCCCGATAGCGAGAGGGAACTTTCGATTAAGGCTAGTTGTCAAATAGATAAATAGTATCTAGCGTATAGTAGCAGCGCGATTATGTATTTAAATTTAGCATTTAAAATTAAAAATTCACCACCTAGCACTTGAAGCGGATGATGAGGGGAATGATGATGAATCCGATCAAAATCCTATAGTTTCGTCATCTCGGGTCATCATGGTCCTTAGTCTACTTAGTCAGAGGAGGCCATCGACCCAATCTTATAGAAGAATCTTGGTCAGCAACCATGGGTTACTTCGTCCAAGGGTACCTTGTAGACCTAGAGTGAATATTTGTCTAAGTAGACAAATTTGAATCCATATTAACTAATAGAGGGATATGTGCCCTATCGATCATATCCTATTGATTCATTATTCAATGATTTAGCGTTGTTAGGAAACATACGTGCTCTGACCATGACCGTAATTTAATGGTGTCATTTGGCGGCGAAACCACCTAATCAAAGGATTCTGGTCATAACTGTTTACTTGTGGTGTCATTTGGTGGCAAAATCACCGAATAGAGGACACATGTCACGTCCTTACTAGCAAGAGACAAACTGAGAATGAATCCTAGTGATATTCTCAATCAGACATTTGCTCTTTGTGAGCTAAAGTAATTTTCATGCTTATTCACCTAGGCAAACTGTTATGGGGATGGATGGGTATTTTGCTTTAAGTGTTTAGGTGTTTTATTTCAAATTTAAATATTTAAGGTTTTGGTGATTTTTATTTTGTTTTAATTTTTTGTAAAAATTTGGGAGGTATTTTCAAATATTTAGGGTTCGGCTTTAGGTTAAGATTTTATGTCAATGCAGCTATCATCGGGATAATATTAAAGTCAATTCTGGATAATTTTGCTATATTTGTTGAACCTTGTCATCTCTATCTACTTGTTAATAGATGATCGGCTTCGTCATCAACTTTATGCTCTTATTTAGTGAGTTTTCCTTGTAATAAACCTTGAAGGCCTAATATAAATATATAAAATAAATATCTTGATCAGTGCTATGATCGTATATTTATTTGACAATTCAAATCGTGTCGACTCTTATCTATTCACATAAAAGAATTGAGTTCGAACTTATATTCATTTCTTAACCTACACAGCATCCTTAGATGTCATACGTCAAACTCATCGGGGACAATACGGATATTTAATTACATGTATGCATGTATGTTGACATATGCATTTGTGCACTATTAAATCGTGCTTGCATGATGTGTTGATATGCAATATGGTGGCCTACTACATTAATATAGTGTATGATATATTTGTGTGATATGCATCTATATGTTGCTTGTTTGCATGCATAACACATTTGCATGATGATTCAACACTTTATGTAGTGCACGATGTATTTGCATGTTCATGCAATGTGCCACTACGAAACAATGTGCTTTGTATGTTGGATGATATGCTCGTACAATGTCCTGCATGTTGTAATACATGTGTGTGCAGTGCATATTCATGTTAATGTAATGCACTACTGCAATATAATGCATCTTGCAATATTGGATGTCATACTTGAATATAGCATTCTGCCTATTGTAATGCATGTAGGAGGGTATTTTAAAGTGTTTGATATTAATCAGTTGTTTGGGTTACTATTGTATCACACTTATTGTAATCCTCTTATTCATGCCCACAGAAGATCTGCACAGGCTATCCCATTTGCCATGAGAATCCTTCATTCATATATCAGCTTCCATTTGTTCGCTAAGGATCTCTCGTCTTTGCAATATATCTACGATTGTTGCTTGCAAGTAAGCTGCTCATTTGCAAATTGATGCTGACTACCAAATGAGCTGTAATCATCATCAATTTTCCTATGCATGTTAATTAGCAAATTGCTACATTAGCTACATGTTAACCTTCAATGCCCATAGGAATTGGTATGTTTGCTTGCATGGTGATTAGTGCCAACTATATGGATGCCACTACATTCGTTACACATCGACTATTTGATCTTTGTTTTCCAGCAAGCAGTGTTTGGAGTTCAATGGTATTAGCTGTGCGCAAACTTCATTTATTTTGAACTCATTGAACGTATCACATCATTGTGTTCATTGCATGTCAAATCCCTCTACTTGTAGGGGATAGTTGTATTTGCTTGCATGATTGATGCGATTATCACTTGCTTTATTTGCTAGTTGGTTTTGTTGAATATTCCAAGTCATTTTAATTTCATTGTTCATCATTTGCATGCATTGATGGTTTTTTCACCATGAGTCCTTGTAGTTGCTCGTTGAAATTCATTTGGATGACCAGGATTATTAGTTAGCATTTGTATTTTAGTGTGATTGCTCATTTTAAAGTTAAAAGTCTGATTCCTTATCATTTTATTTAAGTCTTGTTTCCTACAAATTTAAGTTCTGTCCCCTGCAATTTGTTCAAGGCTAGATCCTTTGTTTGCTGAAAAATTCAATATCTCCCGGCATCTCTCCTGTTTAGGGGAATTTTGGGGAGCTGGACCTTCCCACCATCCTAAGAAAAACATGCATAATAGGTGTTGGGTGACACCGTGGCCGTGATTTTTAATCCCATAGGGGTAATGGGTTGTAAGTTGCTATTGGGCTGGATGAGGAGGTGTATTGATAGCGAGGTGTTGAGGATGTGTAGTTTGGACAACAGGTTAATTTGGCAAGGTGGCCGGCTATAGTAGAGGGAAGTTTGGGAGCTGTGGCTATTTGAGGTAGAAGAGGCAGCGGCTTTATTGTGTACAATAATTTTTTTGGCTCAGTTAAGAGGGAGTCGGGTTAGAGCTTGCAGTCAGGCTTGACTGGATTGAAGGGTCATGCGATTGAGTTAACTGGGAGGAGCTATGGGATGAGGGAGGAAGAGTGGAGGTTGGCGTCGACTAAATCGATTGATAGCATGTCGTATACATGACTTGTCTCCTACAACAACTCGTAGGTGTCTGCATTTGATGAATGTTTTCTATAATTGCAGTAGACGACATATTGTGTATGTGACAGGTCTCCAACTACTACCTATAAGAAAGCTTCTATGTGCATGAAGAGCTTCCAAAGGTGACTCGTAGGAGCTCGTATTCATCATGAATTTGCTATTTCTGATGGTAGGCAATATGCTGCGCTCACTGCAATCCTCTCATTCATGTTTGTAGAAGATTCGCACTGGTCGTTACATTTGTTGCAAAGGTCCCGTGCACACTTGCTGACAGCATGTATTCTTAGCAGACTAATTAGTATTGCCTACAGGCAGATTCAACATGTTCGCTTGCATGCTACTGTTGGCTGTCGGTCGAGCTACATCATCGTTGATTCTCCCAACACACATTGATTGGCAAGTTGTTACATCTACTTGCATACTAGCTTTGTGTTTAATGGGAGGAGACTTCCGCATGCATCTGCAAGCCCATTAACATTAATTGAAGGGAAATTGTTATATTCACAATTTATCCACTGTCGTCACTCACAAGCTGATTGGTGTATTCATTTGCATGTCGCATTGTGTATGCTTGTGAGAGGCTTCTTGAATACACCCTGGCTAAAAAGTCATTGTGTTCACTGCATGTCAGCCTCCTTTACTTGCAGAAGGTTAGTGTGCTTACTGGCATAACGGATGAAAATGTCACAAATCATGTACTATTGTTCATATTTGATTTGCAACACTTGTTAAGGTACTTCATGATTTATTTGCAACTAAACCACACATCCTCCTTGATTGTTATTGATCATTGCTTGCGAGCAAATTGTGCTTGGAGTTTTGTCCACCACTAGTCCCCTGCATGCTTATGCTCATTTGGATAAACAGGATTTGTTCATTAGCATTTTCATTTTGGTGTGATCATGTATTTTTCAACTTTAATGTATGGTTCCCTGGCCATTAATTCGAGTTCTATTCCATGTAATTTATTTAAGTTTTGTTCCTTGTAAAATAGCTTAAGTTAGGTTCCCTGTGGTCCAATTTGTATGTTCGGTTCCCTAAATTTTGTTTGAGTCCAAGTCCTTTATTTCATTGAAAAAAATTCAACAGCCTCTCACTGTCTCCCTTTTTTAGGGAATTTTAGAGAGTTGAACCTTCCCACCATGCTAAGAAAAGCATGTATAATAAGTGTTGGGCGATACTGCGAATGTAATTTTAATCCCAGCACACTAAGAAATGTGTATGGGTCTTCGAGGTACCTGTTTGAAAGATTTGCAATTTATTCTCGCAGGCATAGAAGAACGTGCACGGGTACTTAAGACTATCTACGCCACAATAAGAAAAGTGTGTATATGGCCTACCCTCCTCGCCACAAACGTCGCACTGGGCTTCCTCCCACCATGCTAAGAAAAGCATGTATATGTGGTTCTCAGACGCGCCACAAACGCCGAGAATGGGGTTTGAGAGTTTTGAGTTTGAAAATCAGTTATACCTTTGTGAGTGGGTCGATGGCGACGATGTCAAGGCAATTGCGACAATGAGAAAATGATGAGCACAAAAAAAAAAACTCTCCTTTTCTTCGTTCTCTTTCTTTTTTTTTTTATGGATCTTTCTTCCTTTTTTTTAAATTCTCTCTTTTCCTTTTTATCTTTATTTTTCTTTTACTAATAATAATATTAATAATAAGATTAATAAATAATATTAACTAATAATACTAATAATTAAGAGTATTGTGAAAAATGGGTTGGGTTGTTTGAGTGACTTTGTGAGTGGCTGTAGGTGGATTGAGGGGGGGTGGGGG